AAAATTATTCAATATGTTTAGTTTTAATTTTCTAAATTTAGTTTTTTAAAAATTAAGTTTTTTATTTTTCACATTTTTTTTATTTTTAGTGAATATTTTTAAAATTTTAAGTAATTTTTTAAAACTTTTTTAGATGTAGCTTACTTAAATGTATCTAAATAGTAAAATATTTGTGAAAAAATATTTTTAAAAATTAATAAATACTCAAAAATATGAAAAATATACTGAATCTTCGTATTTTTATATATATATTTTTGGCATTTAGTGAATTTTTTAAATATTTTTTTCGCAAATATTATATTTTTTAAGAGTATTTTTATTAGGTGTGTCTAAAAATTTTAAAAAATTACTTAAAAAATTAAAAAAATTCAGTGAAAACAAAAAAATACGAAAAACAAAAATGTAGAATTTTTTAAAAATAAATTTTGAAAACTGAAATCAAACAACCTGTAGCATTGACCAATTATATTACTTTTTTTCAACAACTTTATTTTTAAAAAATAAAAAATAAGACAAAAAAGATGTGAATTGATGAAGTTGCCCCGTCTAATTATAAAATGAGCAATGTCATGATTACTTAATTATTTCTTGCAACAATTACTCACCATTGCATGGGGTTTCTCCTAATTAAGCTAAAAAACCAAGTTATTTCTTAAATTAGGCTTAGTTTTGACAAATTTTTTAAAATAAATTAAAACGTGGTTAGAAATCACATTTTCACTGTTCTTGTAACCTAACTGCAAAAAAATTGTAAAATCGTAAAAACGTGGTTACACACAACGCTTGTAATTAAGAAAGCGTGGTTACAAACCACGTTTTTAAGGAAATTTGATTTATAAATAAAGCGTTGTTTCTAACCACACTTTTAAATAATTTTTTTTTTCTTCAGAAAACGTGGTTTCTAAGCACACTATCTTAATTAAGCTGTGTTGTAAAGAAAGCGTGGTTAGAAACCACACTTTCAACATCTCTCTCTCTCTCTCTCTCTTTGTGACACACTCATACTCACACTTATATCAAACATATATAATTTTTAATATATATAAATTTTATTTTATAAAATTGAAACCAATATTAAATATATATAATAATAATTTATAATAGCAAATAATAATCAACTATATAAAATGATTACTTATTTATTTTAATTCTTAAAATTCTTTTTATTTTTATTTTAAGGTTTAAGATGGGATATTTACCAATAAATCCTATCCCACAAACAATTTTACCGATTGGTCCTAAGGTTATTTCTATTGTTTTGATTAGTCCTATTAGTGGGGAAATATCTTATCAGCTGATCCTATTTCCTTTGTTTAGTAACATTGAGTGGTCAATTATACCCTTCCGTGTGTGTGTCGCGTGACATACATCATTCCAAGGCAAAAAGCATAAGAGCCTTAGTGTATTTTGTTGATGTGTGGAACCCATTGTGTGTGTCACGTGACATACATCACTCCAAGGCAAAAAACATAAAGAGCCTTAGTGTACTTTGTTGATGTGTGACACCCATGGCGTGTGTCACGTGACCCTCTAAGGCAAAAAGCAAAAAGCATAAAGAGCCTTAGTGTACTTTGTTGATGTGTGACACTCATTGTGTGTGTCACGTGACACTCCAAGGCAAAAAGCATAAAGAGCCTTAGTGTACTTTGTTGATGTGTGGCACCTATTGTGTGTGTCACGTGACATATTGTGTGTCACGTGACATATTGTATGTCACGTGACATACCCTCATAAAGAGCATGCATCTAATAACATCTAAATGAGGGCATTAAGATCCCTCAAAACATCCAAGGACTAAACGGTTTATTAGAAAAAAATTGGGACCAATTGGTTCATAAGTTTAACATTTGGGATTTATAGGTAACTCTCCCAAATTTTTTTTAAAAAAATATTGATTGAAAACTCAAAAAAACTGTTTTTAAAATTTCCAAATTAAACCCAAAAAAAAAAGTGAATTCAGCTACTTTTTAGAGGGAGAGTTGTTAAAAACGGAAAGAAATTAGAATTTTAAAATTTAGGACTCGTTTGGCATTAGCTAATATAGTCAATTTTTTTGTGTTTGGACTTTTTTAGCCTGACTTTTTTAACTTCGTTTGGTTTTTGTTTTGAGACTTTTTTAATTTTTGTGAGAGAAAAAATATAATGATTATAAGTAAAAAGTAATATTTTGCCTTATTAGTTTTGGTTGTCAATTTTGTCTTTTTGTGATTATTTAACCCCAACATGAATGTCAAACCGGGGCTTAATTTGTCATGAAGATGAAACTTCAGAGTGTTTTTTTTCTTTAACAATTTGATAACTAGCTCTTTTACTTTTTTTTAATTTTTATTTTTTGCTCAGAACCTTATTTTATTTTATTTGTTTATATTCTTAGGTTGTGTTTAGTTCTTATATTTGAGGAAGGATTTGGAAAAAAAAGAAAAATGTATGTGAAACATAGGTAAAATTTAGTTTATATTTTATTTATATTTTATCTATATTTTTGTTAGATTTCTTAGTGAAATATGGGATCGAATTTATTTATTAAAAGAATTTTAATTTAATTTGGCTTGATTATAATATATTTTTAATATATTATATCTGAGTTTTGAAAATTTAATAGATATTTAATAATCTATTTAGTAATAATTAAGAATTTGATAAAAAAAAAAACTCAAAAGTTAATAATTTGTTTTTGGTTTTCCAAACAAATGCTGCGGCAGCTATAATTATTCCTCGGTACTGGGTGGTGGATATTTTTCAATTGGCGGCTGTTGTAAGGTTTTGGTCCTTTTCGCATGGTGCTTAGGAATTCTTTGGAGGCTTGGCAGTTTCATCTGTGTGCATATTTTCGACTGGTTTGGTGAGGTTGTTTTGTGTTTATTATTTTGGATTTTTTACAATTTTATTTTGAAGATTTAGGTTTTGTTTGGTATGATCTAAAAAAGTCAAAAAGTCACTATCCTTTTTAAGTCATATCATCTTATTTAAGTTACATCGCATTTCTAACACATCACTTCAAACCCAACCCATACTCAATTCATATTTCATAAAAAGTCAAAAAGTACACTTATTTAGATCATCCAAAACCACCCTTTACATTTATTTATTTAATAAGTTCTCTTTTTTAATTATTTGTGATTATTTAAAATTCACCTTAAGGTGTAAAAAGGTGATTTTGTGAGACTATTCGTATCTCGTTTGTAATCGTTTGAAAACTTTTGGTTGATAGTAGAATCGGATTTCGATCCCGTGAACGTACCTCACATTGAGGGAGCAACGTAAAATTCTTGTGTCGTTATTGATTTAATTTTTTCACATTAGTTTTTATTTCCATTGATTGATTTACTTGTGGGAAATCATATATTTTTCCTAACAACTGGTATTAGAAGTATGGAAGTGATGGTGGAGGACAATGTAATGATGGGTTGCTCTTTGTCTTTTTTCAACAATAGTGGGTACTGATGCAGCAAGATGTTTGATATTTGCATCGGTGGAGGAGTGTTCATTGGAAAATGAAAAAAGAGGAGGGCATGAACGTAATTTTAATTTTGTATTGTAAGAATAATTAGGTACTTTTACCTTTTCTGTTAAGTCTATTAGAAGGCAAAATCTGATATGAGGGTTAGTGTAATTTTCAGAATATGAGGAGGAAATCTGTATTATTCATAAACCTTAAAAGGGTGTTGATGTGTACATTTGAAAAAATCCAATTAATACCCCCCAACATCCGTCCAATTTTGTTTAATAAACTAAGAGAAAAGGCTTCCGTTAAAAAAAAATAAAAAAACTAAGAGAAAAGGCTAATTTAGTGTGACACTCTGTTTAGTTTGGAATTTTTTTAAATAATTTTTTGAGTTTTTAATTTGTATTTTTTTAAAAAAAGGTAAATTACACTTTGCTTCTTTTATATTTGGTTATTTTTTCACTTTAGTCTTTAAAATTTATTTTTTCTCAATTAGCCATTCATGTTTCAAGTTTTTCTCACTTTACTTCTAAAACTAATTTATGTTAAAATTAAACAAAAAATGACACATTGATAGTCAAGTAATATAAAAATATACTGCTGATATAGATTAACCAACAAAAATTCATTTACAGCATATATTTTTGCCTAACTTGATTGTTATAATGGACTATAATATCAAGTTCTATATTTAAATGGTATGCACAACTAGAGATGTACAGTGCATGATCTATCCTGTGATAATGTCGTGTTTGAAATGAGAATGAATGAGCATCACTTTGATCTCAATTATAATGGGTGATGGTCAATCTACTTTGGAACAGTTGCACAGGTATTGTTGCTTTTTTGTCCACATCAGCATGTCGGTTTATTTCGGCTATCCTTTTGAATGTCCTTGGGAGTTGGTTTTTTGTTAGTTTCTAGGTACTGTTCTAGTTGTAAGGTTCGTGTTACAAGCTATGTCTTTGGTAAGGGAACAATTGGAGAATACATAGCATCGAACGGTGGTGTTGTCACAGCTGAAGAACTTGCTCCATATCTTGATTTAGAGACTACGAAGGAAACGGTATTTTTATGCTCGATAATCATTAAAAAAAACTAGTTTGTTGTTTTGCTCTTGCATTTGCAATGCTTGTTTGTGATAATTCTAGCTGGCAATAATGTTTGATGGGATTCTTTAGACAACTGGAAATTATCTTTTTATCGGACTACAATTCAATGGATGAACCTCTGCAATAGCTTAGATTATTCAATTCTAGAACAAGGAGCTATTTATTGCTGATAAAAACATAAAAAAGGAGCTATTTATGATTGTTGTTTTAGTTTCTCAGTCCTTTGGTCACTGATATTTTTCTATTTTCAGAGTCTTTTTTTATTAACTCCTCATACATATTACCTGTGCTCTTACGGTTTGATGGTCAGCCAAAAGTAGATGAAGAGGTGTGTTAAATTGCTGTATTTGTAAAGAACTTAATTAAGGGTTTATGTTTTTAGATAGTTTTGTTTTAAATTGTTTCGGGACGCTCTAATCTTGCAATGAGACATATTTAAAAGTTTCAAAGAGTTTGTGAAAAATGCTACAGTAGTTTGCTATTTTTCTTAAGTTGTTTATAAACATGTAGCTCTCATTTAAGGCCCTGTTGTCCCTCCTCCATGTTACTTTCCATAGTCTTATATTTCCTATTTTGTGTTAATTTCTAAGCATTGTTTGACAAGTTTGCATAAATGACCAAAATGTTATTTTTTATGTAGTCCATATGAAGCTAGTTTTAAGGATGATATCTTTCTTATGAAACATCTTGTAGCTCTTCAATTCATTGGACTCTAATTCATAGTTGTAAGTTTAAAATCCTTGAGGTAGAAGAAGCTCAGGTTTTAAGGGCCCTTGCCTTCTTTCCCAAAATCTCAGTTTTCATTTTCACACCCTTCTTTGCCTTTCACTGATGAAACCACCTTTTTTTTTATATTATTTTTTTTACTTTTCACTTGCAATTAATACAGGGAAATATTCTTTATCGATTTCCATCACTACAACGTACAGCTTCTCCTCAGAGGAGTGGAAGGAAGGAATATCTTTTCAGGTATCAAACTCTGAATTTATTGTTCTACATTTCAATTTTTCACATATTACCATATGTATATTTATATGTTCTTCATGTTGATCATGTTGAATTTTTTTGTAAGCTTGTCTTAAAACCTTACAGACTAGTAGATTTTCAAATCATATTTGAATTTATGGGGTTGGTGAAATCAGATCTTCGGGCATTTAACCATTTTACTGTTGCGGTATTGTTGTCCATTGCGAGAGTCCGGAAGTTTAGTGAGTGTTCAATCGGAATTTTGAAGACAACAATAACTACATCATACCGTGATTACAGTTTTTCCAAGTAAGGGTTGAAGGGTATTAAGTTCTATCTCATGTTTAAAGTTAATATAGTACAGTGGTAGTAATGTTGTATCCCAAATTCAAATGGGTTTTTGTGGTGCTAATATGTTCCATGGAAATTAAAGCTATCCAATTTGTTGAAATATGATTTTAGTGGAATTTAATTTGAAATTCCAGACTTTGTTGAGTTGAGCTGAATCAGGTTTGTGGGATTTTTAATTGAGTTCATCACGGCATGGATGGTAATCAAATGTAGTTATCTTGTATTCCAGGAAGCATGTTTAATTGGGTTAGTTTTGTAGGGTTTAATTTCATGTACTAGTGGCCAATTAGTTTGAATTGTTGTGATATCATTGCCATATTAATGTAGTGGCTTTTATTTCAGACATTTGATGTTTGTCACCTGTTGCGGGATTGGTGTTTAGGTGTATGATTTTGTGACTTGGAGAATTGTCGGTGTGTCTTGATAATTTAGCTAATGATGGTTTCAAAGGATGCACATTTTAATTTTAATTTTTTTGTTTTAGTCTAGTTTTAATATAATCATTATTTTTCAGGGTTTGTAATTGGCTACCGGATGACTTGAAGCAAGAATATGTGCATAGTGTGAAAGTAGTGGAGAAGGCGGTGTTGAGAGCTGTAATTTTTCCTTGTTTTTCCATTCTGTTCATTTGAAATCATCTGTGCCATGGCAGACATGAAGATGTGAATAAGATATATGTTCTTATTGCTAAACTTTAGTGAGATGATGCTAGTGATGTCCTTTCTTCTGTTAGCTTTATATTATTGCTTAGTTAGTTTTTCTTATACAATGTATGACAGCAAAAAGAAAAAAATGGAAGATCATTTTCATATTTTTAATTATGGATGAATTTTTATTTATATACTGGATTTTTTATATTATTATGTAATTATCGATTTTTTTTAAAATTATTTTTCATTTAATACAGGTCATTTTAATAATTTTAATAATTTTATTACATATTTTTTTTTTTTTGGAGACGGCAGCACACACCGTCTCAAAAAAAAAAAATGAATCAGGATTTTTTGCGACGGCACCTTTACTGTCGCAAAAGATAGGGAATTGGTTGAAATGTAATGCCTTTAGCGACGGTTTTATTGCCGTCGCCAATAGTCCTTTAGCGATAGCTCAGGGGCTGTCTCAAATAAACCTTTAGCGACGGTATTTTTTGCTGTCGCAAAAGACATTTTTAGCGACGGCAACACAGTGCCGTCTAAAAAAAAAATTCAGATTTTTACATGTTATTTGCGACAGAATTTTTCCGTCGCAAAAAAGGCATTTTGCCGTCGCAAAACCCTTTTGCAACCCCTTTGTTGCGACCCCCCACTTGCCGTCGCAAAAAGTCGCTGACCGTCGCAAAAAACCAATTTTTTTGTAGTGGTTATGGTTGCACAAACTATTTTTTCAACACTCTGTGTTACCTATTTTTGTGGGAATTGTTCAAAGAAGAGGATGATTGGGGAACATCTAGCCGGAAGTCTAGCCAGTCGTCTGGTGAATCTCACCTCAACGGTTATGCACAGTAAAATGATAAAAGGTGGCCCAGATCCCTAGTTTGGTGAAATGTTTTTTAAATTCTCAATTTGATACAGGTTTGATGAAACCATTGGAATACAAAAAAAGGGACTTTTTCACTAAATTTGAATTTGATGATGCATTTGTTATAACGTTGGAGATGGTCTAACTAAAAAAAAATTAAAAAGTCATAATCGAACATAAATAAGTTATAACTAAAATCTTAAAACAATGGCACAACTAATAACAATTTTGATCATAACTAAAGAAGAAAATGACGTAACTAAAGGTATATGTAATATGAGATATGTATAATATAATTCTCCCTACACATTATATCTTGCGTTTTTAAAATTAAAAAAAAAACTATAATAATTCTTTTTGGATGAATTCACGTTCATAAATAAATAAAAATTCTTTCATTCATATATACCTTAGATACAAAATAATTAACAATTAAAAAAAAACCCATAAATGACACCCAAAAAAAATAATAATAATAGCCATCTTACAACAATGTCCTCCCGCCTAATAAAATCCATCACGAACTGTGCATGGGACCGCCTTAATCCGGCAATTTAATTTGCCCAGTCCCATGGATATGAATGAACTGTCCGTTCGTTATTTATTATTTATTTTGTCCACTTAAAATCACAAATTAAAATGAAAAAAATTAAAAAATATAAAAACAATTTTTTTTAAAGACAATTCTATTATATACACCCCATACGTACCTTTAGTTACACAATTTTTTTTTTCTTTAGTTATGACATTATTTTCAAATTTTAGTTATGCTTTTAATTTTTTTTTTAAATTATGACTCAGAAAATATAAAATTATGAGATTTTCTTGTGTAGTTTAAGGTGAGTATATGGTATACCATAAGCTCTGTTTGGTTAGTTTGTGAAAAGAGTTTTTAGCTGTATTTTGAAAAATAAATTGTTGAAAAGAGTTTTAAAATTAAAAATTTATTTGATTATGAATTTTGAAAATAATTTATAGTTTTTAATTTTTTTTATAATTAAATAAATAAGTGTGAAAAAAAATCAATTGATTTATGTGTAAGATGTTTTATTTTATTAATTATTTTAATATTTTTTTATTGAATATTTCAGCCAAAGTAGTAGGGATATAATAATGGCCCGGCTCGGCTCGATCCATGGGCCGAAAAGTGGGGCATAGGTCCAAGCTCAGGCCCACTCATAATAGGGCCAAGGGCTGGCCCTAGGGATGTTTTGTTTGGTTATGTTTCATGATGGTATTTAAATTTAATTATGTATGACTTACGTTTTTTTTTTTATGAACTTATGACTAAAAAAGTATGAAATTATGTAAATTTCTTCTTTTGAAATGAATGATTTTATATATATCAAAATGAAACTTTTAATATTACAATCATTAAATTAAATATATAATATTTATTGAATGAATAATTTTTATCTCAAAATGAAATAAAATATTTTAAAAATTTATATCATTAAATAAAATATATATAAATTATTGATGAAGGTAGAGCAATTGCATCACTATATGTCAAGTACATCCCAACTAGATTGACACCTACTAGCCTATTTATCATTTGCTAAAAAAAAAATAATAATAATAATAATTGTGACATAGACGGTAGGCAAGACCATTGCCACATCATTGATGACACTATTAAAGCAACCCTGTCAACTATTTTTTCATATTCTTATCTACCTCCATCACTTCCCTTTAACAACATTACCACTGTGCGGACTCTCTGTAAAGTGTAAGCCCACTCACTCTGTCTCTCGCGTCCATAACAATCACTTCTCGACAAGCCCTGCTTTGCTTAGCTCCAGGTAGCTCCTTCGGTTTTCCAAGCTGTTCTATAAGTTATAAACACTCACAAATTGAGAGGTCTGTTACACTATCACACTATTATAATTATATATATGTTTTGGTTTTGATTTCAGTGATCTTTGATCTGTTGTGTTATTATTATTATTCTCTTTGATTTGAGGCATTTCTGTTGCAGATTAACCACCATGGACGACCTATTTGGAGCTTTCTTCTTGGCTAGATCTATGTAATAGCAGTTTATCTTCAACTTTTAATACGTTTTTTTTGAAGCAATTAATAAGTAGGCTTTCTTGTACCTACCTCCTTGGACCTAATTGTAAATCACCGACAAAACCTCAACCTAATCACGTCAAGATCTTTCTTCGAATTAATTCTTTCCTTCTCACCAAAATCATCCTCCTCCTTTCCTAAAGTATTTTTTGTAGCTTTCCCTTTGTCACTCTGATTAAATTTTCTCGGATAATTATATAAATTTTTATCCAAAAGACCTTGAAATTCAGAAGAAGTTCAAAATGCATCGATTTGTTTTTTCAATTTTCCTGTGCTTCGCGGCTATTGCGCCGTTCCTGAATTGCGGGGTTCTTGCTGATGTGGTGACTTGCTCTGGGATCGTGCCTATGAGGTATCGGAACGATATGATATCGATTATGGACTTTGGAGGTGTGGGAGATGGAGTGACAATGAACACGAAGGCGTTTAGGGCGGCGATTTATCGGATTGAGCATCTGAGGCGGAGAGGTGGTACACTTCTATATATACCTCCTGGGGAGTATTTAACAGAGAGTTTCAATCTTACCAGCCACATGACCCTCTACTTGGCCAGAGGTGCTGTGATCAAGGCTACTCAGGTACTTTCACAAACATTTGATACAATTACCGCTATTACAATCATCACCTTTTATGCTTTAATCAGAAATGTGGAAGATGTTTGAATTGACTCTAGATTGCGCAGTCAAGGCTGCAAACGAGCCGAGCCAAGCCAAGCTCCTTTGTTTATCGTGCCTCGTTTTGATAATTAACTGGCCACGAACTCGGCTCGACTCATTAATATTATTAGAGCTGAGCTCGGCTCGGCTCGATGAGATTTTTTTATTATTATTTATATTATTTAATACATAAATAATGTATTTATGCTATTGTTTATATATCTATTTAATATGTAAATAATGTATTTATTATATAATTTAAATAAAGATAAATGAGCTGAGCTTATTCACAGTGTAGAACTATCATATTGGTGAATTTGTTGTTTGCTTTGTTCTTGGCTTAACCCAAACAAACAATTTTTATGGAATTTAGTGCTTTGAGTGCTAAATTGATTTTAGTTTCAACAAGCAAATGGGTCTTTTAACAATTGAAGTATTCTACTTTTTCATCATGTCTTGCGGCGGAGAAATTGGGATTCCGTGAATTTCAATTTGTGTACATTCTGTTTAAAGTGAACTAAAAAAAATGGGTGTTGTACTGTTGAGGCCATACAACAAGCATTTGTGTTTGTAGATTATTTGGAAATTAAGGGACAGCCATAGCCCATGATGGGTCCAGGGGATAAATTGATGGGGATCTAATTGCATGTGCGTGGCATTTGGATTAGTGACAAACAGGATGGGAGGACAGCTATGTGGAATGACACTGCTATGTTGGTATCTGTGCTACGACGTTATTTTATGACAATTTGATTATTTCATGCTTACTTTACTGACCAGTATGACATTGTTATTGTTCTTGTTGCAACTTGTGAGCTATGGGGGACAAAAAGATAATAAAACAATAAAAAAATATTGGTGTAAATGATAGTAAAAGAATAAATGCTGGATACACTGTTTAGCAGTCATAAACCGTGTCTGATTTGCAATGTTGAATTATCATTTGGAAAAAAGTAGGAGTATTAAGGGACAAGGTAAAGCAACAACTATTTCTACACGGTTGTGAACTTTTGAATTCACAATAACGGTCAGATCATCCACTATACATTATGATCTCAAAATGTAGGTATATACCCTGCTATGTCACAAGAGCTAATTTATTTTGTTCATTTGGTCCATTCCTTTTTCTTATGGTATAACATTTGCCTTGATCTTGATCACTAGCTTCTCAACAAATACAGTGGTCCCAACTTAAACAATCTGCCAGCTTTTGTGTAGGTCCGTATATTAAATTATTGTAGCATCCCACAGCAGCACAATTTAAAATTGCATATCGTTTTACTTATAAATTGCACATCATTTTCAAATTGCATATCATTTTCAATGTGGGGTTTCCCTGGGATTAGGCACAAACTGTTTTACTTATAAAAAACTAATAATAAATTCCATTTAAGCAGAGTATTCCCTGTGCATTGAATTGTATAATTAACCCTTTTGCATTAGAATAAAATATTTTCTTTACGCATTGGTAAAATCAATTTGATTTCAAGAAATGACACCACTTGCAATAGTACTCTCCTAAGAAGCATGGACACGGACATGCGACATGACATAGACATGCTGACACGTCAATTTTAAAAAAATGCAGGACACGACACGTGGAGGACATGTATGAAATATATAATTTTATATATTTATTATATGTTATATATATGAATATATCATTCAAAGATAATAAAAAATACAATATGACACTAATTTTAAGTTATTTTGTTCAAACTTATAATTAATTTCACATGTGTTTAATCAATAGACACGTGTGTCCTTCAAGTGTCCAAAGCTTGTCCTGATCTTTAAAAAAAATTAAAAAATTATACACGTTTTGAAGAGTGTCGGACAAGTGTTGGGAAGTATCCAAAGAGTGTCGGACACACGTCACCTTCTGAGAAGTGCCCGTGCTTCTGAGGTTCTCTCTCTCTCTCTCTCTCTCTCTCACACACACACACACACACACACACACACACAGAGCCTCTTTTTATTTTATTTTATTTTATTTTTTTTAAAATCAAAATTTTGGGCACATGAGAAGTCCTAATGCCCATAAGTAGTCTATCCCGGTGTCAATCTCACTGCAGTATTTTTACCTCTGGTGGTTATGATCTTAGATGTAAATTGTTTTGCTGGAGTCTTTAAGCCATTTATGAACTAAATACATGTATGATGTCGGGCCAAAGTTTGTCATTTACCAAGAAACAGTATGGAAATGTTATAGTTGGTTTACATCGGACCGTTTCAAATTTTTAATTTTAATTTATATATTATCATTTTATGTTGCACTAATGTGAAACTCTTCTGGCTTTGATATGTAGGATACAAGATATTGGCCTTTGATTGCCCCCTTGCCATCATATGGACGAGGGAGGGAGCGTCCAGGAGGAAGGTATATGAGCTTTATCCATGGAGATGGACTTCATGATGTGATCATTACTGGTCAGTATGAATATAATGCCTCTTTATCATTTGATGATTGCTTTCCAACACGTTTGTGGATGCCTACTTTCAACCTACAACGACTTGCCTAATCAAATGGGTCACACAAATGTTGTTTCTTATGATCTTGTCATAACAAAATGAATCCTGTTTCCTCCTGCTCCTGCTCCTCCTCCTTCTTGTGTGTGTGTGTGTGTGTGGATAAATCTTATATATTCATTCTTCTCAATTGAGGGCCTTAGCATTTTTCTTTTTCTATGTTTCATGGTTTAACTGAAAATATGCCCCTCCTTGATCGAGTGAAATGGTGAAATAGAATTCATGTAGCTGGGACAAATTTTATGTAGTTAGTTTTAGTGTTTGTATATGATCTTCACTTGCATTTATACGTTTCCACGAAACTAACAAATTTTAATTATATCCCTCCCCCAGGCCTTTTTTTTTTCCCTCTCTTTTTCTTGTTATGTTTTTTTAGTTTCTTTCTTTTTTCTTTCCTTATTATTGTTATTGTTATTTTGGTTCTTCTGCTAAGCAGTCAATATTAGTTAGATTTGATGAATTGGTTCTTTCTTAGGTGAGAATGGAACGATTGATGGCCAGGGAAGTGTTTGGTGGAACATGTGGAGGCAGAGAACCCTCCAATTCACAAGGCCACATCTTATTGAATTCATGAACTCCAAGAACATTATCATTTCCAATGTCATTTTCAAGAACTCCCCCTTTTGGAACATTCACCCTGTCTATTGCAGGTAATAATTGAACATTGTTTTTGGACTCGGGTCCTATATATTTTATTAACATCTCTTATGTTCTTATTCTAATGAATATTTGCTGAAGTTTAGTAATCCTTTTTTTGATTAGTACTGAAGCTTAGTAATCCTATCCATCTGATAACATAGAACTTTATTTACAATTTTTTTTTTCAATGATAAGTAACATTTGATAAAAAGAAACTTACTGCAACTATATGCATTTCCGTTCCTGTTCATGTAAGGTTGTTAAAGTTGTCATTCATCCATAAGAAATGAGCTTGCCTCCATATGGTGCAGTTGGGTCCATGAGGCCACCATGGTTCCCACTCTGGTAATCTAATCAGTTCATCTTGTGGGCCCATATGTGTAGATCTTTCGTGAAAAAAAAAAAGAAAAAGATTGATCCACTAATCATAGTGACATGATTTTATCATATTTGTTTTTAGAAAAATGAACGGTTTATTTTCAAAATCAGATATACAGGCCATTTTATTGAAGACAAATATAATGAAATCATGTGGTTACAATTATCGGATCAATGTAATTTTTTTTTTCATGGAATATATACACAACAGTTCACAAGATGAACTATTTGAATCACCACAATGGACCCATGGTGGCCCCACAGGCCCAACTGCATCATCTTGTCCACCCAAGTAGATTGGAGACAGGCCACATTCTAAGAAAAAATAACTCCTCCATTTCTTGTTCCTCCAAAATTGGATTTTATGGATGATGTGCAAATTTTTAAATCTGGATCTTATTTATGAACTCTCCCACAAAGTTTCTGGGGTCTAATTACTTGTAACTGGAGTCTAAATCTGTAATTCTCAGTAGTCAGAAAGTAAGTAGTGTCAGAGACGCATAGGGTCAGCCCTGATCAAGCACAATTGCAGAACATATATTGGCATGGTTTGCAAGAAAATTCAGGTTTATCTATAATTTGCATCCTTTTTCACGAGTTATTTTAAAGTTTAAAACTGTATTAGGAAGCTGAGATTAGGAACAAGAATGGTCGGCCATTTTTCAATTTTCTTGAACTGCATCCTTATATTACTCTTTGATACTAGTATGATTTGCCAGAAAATTGCATGGCAGTGACTTTTATTGGTTCTGAGCCTTCTGACAGTTAATTTCTTCTTAACAGCAATGTCGTTATTCAATATTTGACCATATTGGCTCCACCCGACTCTCCCAATACGGATGGAATTGATCCAGGTATGCTGTATAAAACAATTTTAGTGTTAAGTACATCCTTTTTCTTTTTCTTCTCATCTATTATATATATATATCTATGTGTGTTTGGAAGGAGAAAGATTAGGGACACACCTAACCTTTGGCATAGTACACAAAGTGGTTGTCTGAGATTTGAACCTATAACCTCAAGGTTATTATATATATTATTTTATTTCTGAATTGTAGCTATATGGTATGCCATTAACTAGGGTCATATATATGTTTGTATAAGGGGGAAATTACATGCAGCCTGCAGGTGGGAGCAAGTGAAAAAAATACCAACACATGGGGGTGCAAGTGTGTCCGTGGTGGGGTGTAAATAAAATGTTGTGGGGTTGCAAGTGTCACTTGCACTAATTTTTTTTCCCTTCTTCCACCTGCATGTAGTTCCACATTTGTATTTAGATTTGCTACATATCTTGCACAAGGAACACAGTACTTTTTATATTTTTGGATGGTGTGGAAGGCATGGCTTTGTGAATGCACATTTCATTACTTAGATGGTCCATAACTCATGCAGATCAGTGCAATGTTGGTACTAGATGCTTCTTGTTTATTGAAGAAGAGACAATTTTAATGAAATTTTAACTAAAATATGTACTCTTGATAAATTGAGACAGATTCAAGCAGCCATGTCTGCATTGAGGACTCGTACATTTCTACGGGAGATGACCTTGTGTCGGTGAAGAGTGGGTGGGATGAGTATGGCATTGCTTATGGTCGCCCTAGCATCGACATCACCATCCGGCGGGTAACAGGATCGTCCCCATTTTCTGGAATTTCAGTCGGAAGTGAAACGTCTGGTGGGATAGAGAATGTATTGGCTGAGCACATAAGCCTTTTTAACATGGGAGTTGGCATCCATTTGAAGACAAACATCGGTAGAGGAGGGATCATTAGAAACATTACTGTGACGAATGTGTACATGGAAAACGTGCGAAAGGGTATAAAGATTGCAGGTGATGTCGGGGACCATCCTGATGACAAGTTCGACCCAAATGCTCTTCCAGTTGTTAAGGATGTCACAATTAAAAATGTGTGGGGTGAAAAGGTCCAGCAACCAGGTTCAATACACGGCTTGAGTAACTCCCCTTTCACTGGGATTTGTCTCTCTAATATCAACATTCATGGTGGAACAACAACAGGACCGAGAAAAACTCCTTGGCAGTGCTCTGATGTTAGCGGTGGTGCTGTTGAGGTCAGCCCATGGCCATGTTCTGAACTGACTAGCACCCATCAAACTGGTGCATGTTCCATTCCCTTTTGAGATTGTTGTTGTTGTTCTTTAAAACTCTGTCCAGGCAAGTAATAAAAACTATGATTGTGATTAGATATTAAAGATTTCATCTTATTTTATTTTTTATCCTTCACCTCTGTTGATTTTAAACTTCATTTCAAATGGAGAATGAGAGCAATTAGATAGTGTTATTTGAGCAATAATAGGTATCATGAAAAAACTTTCATGAAAATGATCATGAAAGATTTATGACCTTTGGATTACACTTAAAATAAAGCACCACACACTAATCAAGGTAATCCAAGGGTTATAATTCTTTCATGATCATTTTCATGAAAAATTTTTCATGATCCCTAGCTTTTCTCGTGTTATTTTCATCTTCAGATGGAACATATAAACACTTCCTAACATTAGAGTCTAAACTATCACCAATTTTTTCATTTCATCATCCTAAAGTATTAATTTTGTCTATTTGATTCTTAAAGTTTGTGATTTCTGTCTTCCATGTGTTTCAATTTGTGATGACTATAAATCATGAACAGTTAAAGCGCCAAAAGGTAGTTATATAATTTGTATTTATTTGTATAATTGTTGTGAATTAAATTGTAAAATTATAAATTTTACAAAATAAATAGATGGAATTGATAATTTCTCAATAAAATGAAAAAAAAAAAAATTGTAATAATTTAAGTTTAAAAGTGAAATTTGAAATTAATGAAACATTCCATTATGCAACATCTGACAATCATCATGCTATTATTGCAACAACCAAAATTACTTGCATATCACATCCAAGCACTATATAATATAGGAAACAATTTTTCATCACATAATAATAGTGTATATTAATAATAATATAGATGTGTATATGCTTCTACATCTCACATGGATGCAAAATTCTTATTTACAGAACAAACAACACAGACCCATAATACAAATAAGTTCTAATGATAACTACCCAAACAAAACATACATAGGTAAGTGTGTATGCATACTATGCATCATCACTGCTGTTCATAAGTTTATACCCAAAATCTGAAAATTTAAAACTGGTCCAGGAACTTGCGGATGTGCTTCATGAAACCACCACCACCACTTCCTTCCTCCCTCTCCTCACGTTGTCCCTTCTTCTGCTTCTCCTCTCTCTCCTCCTCGTCATCATCTTCCTCGCGGCGGAACGGCCTCCTGAAGCTCTTTTTCTGCTTCTCCTCTCTCTCGTCCTCGTCATCATCTTCCTCGCGGCGGAACGGCCTCTTGAAGCTCTTCTTCTGCTTCTCCTCTCTCTCCTCCTCGTCCTCATCTTCCTCGCGGCGGAACGGCCTCTTGAAGCTCTTCTTCTGCTTCTCCTCTCTCTCCTCCTCGTCCTCATCTTCCTCGCTGTGGAACGGCTTCCTGAAGCTCTTCTTCCCAAACACATCACGGTGGTGCTTCCCGAACGGGAACCTCTCCATCCCATCGTGGTGATGATGGTGGTGGTGGAACCTCACCCACCTCTCCGGAATCTGACGCACGCCGCCGCGCAACATCTCCGGATCAAACTCCTTCCCTTGTCTCTCTCCGCCGCCGCCGGCCATTATCATGTCGCCGCCGTACCCCACCTCGCGCCGCTTCATCATGTGCTTAATTCCGTGTCGGCAACCGCGGAGAGGAATATGGAAGGGATACGAACGCTTCGCCGGAAAGTGACGGTTGATCGGCCGGAATCTGACGATTGTCATCGGGCGATCGAGCGGTACGGCAACGGTTTCCCTATCAGATTCCGGCCCCTCGGTGGTTCCGACGGCCTTGTCTTCATTTTCAGTATCGATCGGTTTTGTTTCGGCGGTTTCGGAATCCAATTCCACCACCGGGGATGGTTGTTCTTCGGGCTCTAGCTTGTCGCTGGGGAGGAAGAGAGTTGACTTGGCGTTAGATTCCGGCAGAGAATCGGAGAGATCGCGATCTGTGACGTCATTTTCCGGGATGAAGGGAGTGCGAGCATAGGTGAAGGCGAAGAAGAGGAAGAGAAGGGTAAGGGTGAAGCCGAGTCTAGCCATGGTCGAGATGAGGAAGAGAAATGTAGTTGGTGGTGTGTATATGTAGAGAGAGAGAGAGAGAGAGAGAGAGATATGTATGGTTCGGGCAGCTTGTTGGGGCAAAGCAAGGGGTGATCTGATTTTGAGCGGTCAGCGCGGGCAAGAAAGGGACACCGACCACGTGATTGGAGGGATGGAGGCAGGAAATGAAGTTGCCGTGGAGGTCGGATCTAGTTAGTCAAACGGGTGATTTTTGGATATTCGAGAGATGGGTTTGGATTGTCTACTGTCGTGGTGATTTGGGAACCTCAAAAAAAACTGCGTTTTGTGCAGCTCAAAAACGCAGCATGTAGCAACTGAAAACGCAGGTTGCTCATTTGGGAATACAAAAATGCTTTACACCACTAATTAGTGGTGGCTCTAATGATATGGCAGTGGGTCCCACTCACTGCCACATGTGTTTTGTGCCTGAAAAATACTTGGGAGCACTAATTAGTAGTCCCACTAATTAGGTGGCAGTGGGTCCCGCCATTAATGATGTGATGTTTTGGTCTTGGAGTTGTATTTTTATTTTATTTTTTTTATTTTTTTAATGCATTAGTGCTATTAGTGGTGATGTTTTTAGTGGGATGAATCATTGTTTTTTTTTTTTTTTTTTTTTTTTTTTTTTTTTCAATTGCCACCTCACTAGTGGTGGTATTAGTGATGGTAAATTAGTGGTCTATAGCATTGCTCTTTGGGAATATCATAGGTTGTAAAATTATAAGCCTACCCTCCATGTTTACAATTTAAAGGTAAATTTTTTAATTTGGATGGAGATATTTTAGTTATTTTATTATGATGTAACATTATAAATAAATATTAATTTAAAAAGTTAGCAAGTAATTTTTTTATCAATTTCTTAAATTACTTTTCAAAAAAGTCAAAAGTCAAATTTTTTTTATTAACTTTTCAAAACACCTCTAGGAACGTCTAGTCCAGTTCTGCTCATTGGATTTACTTTTGGATTCATTTTTTATAATTTGAATCGTTCATATTTTAGAATTTGTTAATTATATTATTTTAATAAAAAATCACGTTGATCGAATAACGAATACTATATATTCAGATTACTTTTGTCTAGAAAAAATAGACGATCAGAAAATTAATGGTTCATAAAAAATAATCTAAATACATAATATCTATTATCTGATCGACGTGATTCTTTACAGAAATAATATACTCAACAAATCTTAAAATATAAATAATTTTAGAAAAATGCTTGGGAGCACTAATTAGTGCTCCCACTAATTAGGTGGCAGTGAGTCCCGTCATTAATGATGTGATGTTTTGGTCTTGGAGTTGTATTTTTTTTTTTTGATTTTTTTAATGCATTAGTGCTATTAGTGGTGATGTTTTTAATTTCGAGAGATGGTATTTTATAATGTTATAATTGATAAAAAATAAAAAAATATTATAATTTTGTATTATGTGATTAAAAATAAAAAATATTATAATTTTATATTAAATAATTAAAAATATAATAAAAATAAATAATAATATTATGAGAATACTAAGGGGTTGTTTGAAGTGTCCTAAATAATTATACTTTTTGTATTTTTGGACTAAAAAGTTAACGGAAAAAATATGGATGTTTTGGTTAATTTTTTGACTTTTTATGAAAAAATATGTATCAAAAAATTGTATAAAGAAGTGTGTAGGAGACGATGGGAGATGTGTGTTGTACAACCGTACAATTTGCACAGCCGGATTGATGGTAAGAAATTATTGGCTATTTTTTTGGGTATTGCATTGAACGGTTTTGTTTGGCCCGTGGAGGACATCACGGGTCCCATTTTGATAATCCGAACCGTTCAATGTGTAGAACTTGTCGAGTACTATATGTTTATAAAAAATCACGTTAATCGGATATCGATAGCTATCTGATCAGATTTTTTTTCAATCATTAATTATAACTCTATTTATTTTTTATAAAAACTGATTTGATCATATAGTTATCGATATCCGATCAATGTGATTTTTAAAAGACATATAGTACTCAACGAGTTCTACACATTGCACGGTTCAGATTATCAAAATGAGACCGTGATGGGCCTCCACGGGCCGAACAACAGTGTGTGAAAATTATACGTAAACTGTGCAATTTTTCCTCACAAATGCTGCACAGCGCTGAACCGTTTAATTATTGCTGAGTTATGTGGATATATGAACAATTAATTTTTATTTTTTTAAATAAATAATGATAATTTTTTATTTTTTTTAAAGAGATGTCAAACTTGGCCTAAATAATTCTCCTAACCGAACAAGGTTTTGATTGCGAGTGTTTTGTTTTTGGGCAAATTACAAATACCCCTTGAGGTTTGGCTAAATTACAAATACCCCTGAGGTTTGAGAAATTACAAATTTCCCCTGAATGCTATATTTGCATAACAAATTAGGGGGTAATTTGTTATGAAATTTAAACCTCAGGGGGCAAATTGTTATGAAAATATAAATCTTAGGAGCGAGATGTAATTTCTGAAACCTCAGGAGAATATCTGTAATTTAGCCAAATCTCAGAAAAGGTATATGTAATTTGCCCTTTGTTTTTTTATTGTGGGAGCGACATGGGAAGAATTTTTTAACTACCTAACGTACACGGCAATTCGTAACGTACACGGCAATTCGACCAAGTTGCCTGTTGTACGTCTTGAGACTTTTCTTCGTTAGTGGCAGAAATCAATAACGAATCTATGCCACGACAATTCTGGCGGTGATGTGCTCCTCCGTTACAAAATTTAATTAGAGGTTGTTTGAGATATCTATATCTTCTATACTATTATAAAGTGAACACATAATATGGTGTCCTGAAACTTGCTTTACAACAAAGAGATGGACAATGTTTGAACTCATGACCATGGGTTTAAGTATGAAAACTCATACCACTTAAGCTAAGTACACATTATAATATTAATTTCATTATTATTTTCTTTTATTCCTCTTTGTTAAATTTGCACACACATCGTGTGTGCCCAACCACTAGTCTTATATAAGTGTATTTTTAAATTTTTTAAATTAAAAAATAGAAAAAAAAAGGCATTGATATTTAGCTTAATTTTTTGACTTTTTATGAAAAAATGTGTATTAAAAAATTGTATAAATTAGTGTGTAGGAAAAAATAAAGATTGTGAGTTGTGCAGTTGTACTTTTTGACTCTTGGTGAATAGAGATAACTTTTTAATTTTTTTAATAACTTTTTGACTTTTTGGCAAATGCCAAATTTGGCCTTATTTGGTTTGTCTTTTTTCAAAAATGATTTTGGGAGGAGAGTTTTGAAAAAAAGTGATTGATTTGATGTGTATGAGAGAGAGGATGATTTTGGAAAGTAGGTAACCAAATAATGCCAAACCAGCCCTTAGTTTCTTTGGTTTGGATTTTGAGTATTTATTTTTTAAAATATTAAAATATTTTATTTTATTCTTTTTTTGTTTTTATTAAATTTTTTAATATTTTAAGTAATTTTTAAATTTTGAAATATACCTAAAATAAATACACTTAAAAAGTATAATATTTATAAAAAAAATTTTAAAAAAATTCACTAAATACCAAAAATACAAAAAAAAAGAAAAGAAATTTCAATATATTTTTTGTATTCTTGTGTATTTATTAATTTCTTTAAATATTTTTTTACAAATATTTTAGTTTTTAAATATATCTAAGTAAGTGCATCTAAAAAAGAATTTTTTAAAAAATTTTAAAAATATTCAATAAAAATGAAAAAAAAACGAAAAATAGAAAACAACAAATTTAAAGATATTTTAAATATAATTTATTTGTATAAACACATATTGTGTTTGGTCCAAAAAGTAATGGACATTTTATTGATTACCCCCATTAGTTTGGACTAATGTCAACAAAATCGGATTCCTTTTTGCAGAAGTGTAAAACATAAAAATAAGTTCACAATTAATTTATAAAAATTGGTTCTCTTACACAAGCTTTTGCTGATAAAAAAATGATTTAGAATTCTAAATAATCAGCTCTAAATCCACTATTAGTGAGTGAAAAAAAAAAAAAAAAGGCAAAAAAAAAAAAAAAAAAGGCACAGCACATATTATGATAGTGGGTGGGATCTACTATCACATAATTAGTAATAATACTAATTAGTGGTCTCTAATATTATTGTTTGTTGATTTCTTTTGTCTGGTATTTTACCTAACAAAAACTGATGATGTCAGTATGTTATAGTAGTTAAATGTTAAAATTACCCTTAGAAAGGTAACCAATACTGTATTCTATCTATGTGGGTGTTTGGGAAGTGGGTTTTTATTTAAATTTTTTTAGTTATAGGATATTATTGGAGAATTTTTTTTTTTTTGGGGAAGATAGTTGGGTTTTCTTGTGATTGGATGTGATGTTTGTGAGAGAAAAAATGAAATGATTATGAGGTTTGATGTGAAATTTTGTTTGAATTTATTTTTTTTGATTTTGCAAAAACTGTCTTTTAGTGAAAAAAAATAAAAAAATAAAATCTAAAAAAAATTGTTACCAAACACAGCCTATTATTATTGTAACCAAATTATCTTATACCCAATCACCTCTTCTATCTCATTTTCTCTTTCTTTATACCATTATCATAGTCACCACCACCTTAGTTACATGATCACACCTACATTCTCCCTTCACTTCTAGCCAAAAAAAGAAAAAAAAAATTGGAATATATTAGTGTAAAAGTCTTCTTACAAACAATTATATGACCATATCCTCATTTCTCTTGGAATAATTTTCCGTATAAAATAAATAACGTGAAATTAAATCAAACAAATAAAAATAAATTACTTACAACATTTATTTATCGATGTGAATAAGTATAAAAATGATTAAGTCGAATGTGTAATACTCTATCCTTAAAACAGATTTGTCCCGCTTCATACTTATGGATAAATGGCGTCTATCTCGCAAGATACAATTATCTTTCACAAATTGTATTAGTACTAAAAACAATTTGTTTTAGCAAACTAGAACCTCTGTTCTATACTCTCAAATATTTCTCTAAAACAATTATATGACCATATCCTCATTCCTCTTGCAATAATTTTCTGTATAAAATAAATAACATGA